TACAAATACATATTTGGCCGGTAAGAAGTCATCTCAGATCAGTACAGTTTTATTATTCTAACAAGGCTATTGGCTTCTGGTACGGATTACCTTCGGATGTGGTGGATGCGGTTAGTTTAAGAAAGTTTAAGCTTGATAAATATTTGGTTTATAAGGGCTGGCTTTGAGGTTTTTTTTTGTTGTTGTTATTGTTGGTGGTGGTGGTGGTGTTTGTTTGTTTGTTTGTTTGTTTTGGGGAGAGGGGGGGTAATTTGGTGGATAGGACTATTTAGATGGGCCAAAGGGTCTCTAGTTATCATTTGATGTCATGCAACTTGTTGTTGCATCAAGTATTTAATAGTTTCAACCTGAACCGCTTCTCAAGCAACATATAGGCTAAACGGTAAAGTCAGATATCCTTAAGTTTCAGGGTTATCCATCCCTAGCTTAGAACAGCTTACCAGTGAGATAACAACCAGTTAACGCTACCAGCCGCCTATGCGACTACTCTTAACCGAATGACGACTTAATTGTCAGAATTATGAAATTTTCCCCTTTGCACAGCTGAAAGTGCAGGCGCATTCAGTGGTAACGCGTCTCGAACATTGAATATTTTACTTCACAGCATGGAATGTTAATCGCAAGGACACGCTCGGGCCTTGTTGTATCAGCCAAAGAGAGAGGAAAATGGGGTTTATTTAAGGAAACAAATATTTTGTTGACTTCATAAGTTTTTCTGAGAGACTTTTGACTTATTGTTGGAAGTGAACACTATTCTTCTGTTTTATTGGGTGCATTATATTGTTGCAAGTGAACGTCATTCTACTATGTGTATTGGTGTATTATATTGTTGCAAGTCAACGTCATTCTACTGTGTGTATTGGGTGTTTTATATTGTTGCAAGTGAACGTCATTCTACTGTGTTTATTGGTGTATTATATTGTTGCAAGTGAACGTCATTCTACTGTGTTTATTGGGTGTATTATATTGTTGCAAGTGAACGTCATTCTACTGTGTTTATTGGGTGTATTATATTGTTGCAAGTGAACGTCATTCTACTGTGTGTATTGGGTGTTTTATATTGTTGCAAGTGAACTTCATTCTTCTGTGTGTATTGGGTGTATTATATTGTTGCAAGTGAACGTCATTCTACTGTGTTTATTGGTGTATTATATTGTGTTTATATTCATCAAATGCATCTCTGCGAATTATCACTGACTCAAACTTGCTAATGATGTCATATGCCATACAAAGTGTAGTAACAGCACCAATTACAAATGGAACTAAATAAACTGAAGCGAGTATCGTGGTTTTATATTTAGAGAAGTAGATTCATTTACTATGCATACGAAATATAGATACGTACCATTGAATGCATCTACTAACTGCTGTAACGTTTCAAGAGAAATTCCACTGTAACCTTTAGCCAGGACATTAATTCTAAGAGCGAGCAGCATCCGAGTTCTTTCTGGAGTAAGAGGATGTCCAACTCCTAAGAAAATAAAGATCATCCAACGATGTTTATTGTTGTTGTTTTTTAATCTAAAATTTTCGCATCTCTATTTCACTTTATTACATTAACACAGTTAGTAACATTTATTTCTAAATGTATTCTGTCTTCTGTTGGGTCCTTGATACGCTGTCATGATATTTCATGCATGTTGCAAAGCCCCATCGTTAGTCAAACGAATAATAACGTAATAATTATTGTAGCAAAAGTTCAAGCTCCTTTCTCCGAAACTGAAGTGAGTTTTTTAACGCTGACTGCTTGTACCGATCTATCTAGAATATAAAAACTAAATAATTCTCGTAAAAAAAAAAAACAACACGTGAAATTTGTCGCACAACAGATGTTCGGTCTTCTGAACAGCCAAGTCCACATGTTGAAATTAAATATTTGTTATGTATCACCAAACACATTGCTTTATCAAAATTTTTGCACGATACTTCGTAATAAGAAATTAAGTTTGTTTATCGATGTTTCTAGACTGGTCAATTTCAACACTATAAAAATATTCGATTTCTCTTGAAGCTGTTGTTCGTTTTATTATTATCCACAAATAACTAATTTATAATTCGCAGAGAAATAAAATTATGGAAGAAAACTTCAATCATAAAAACGTAAACGATTTGTATAAATCTATTAATACGATTACCTGCAGCATGTGAACGGACAAGGTTTTCTTGAAGCTCCCTGAAAAAAAGTAAAATATCTGTCAATGGTTTACCAATTCCTGTCAAATCATTAACACCAAGCCTATTTCTTGTATAACAGCTGACATAGATAATCTAAACTAAATCTGTAACATACCTTACTAATTTAATAACCTCAATAAAAGTAAGAGTCATGTATTATCGCCAGACTTAGATCCCAAACAGCAAATCAATGTCATGCTTTACCAGCTGATTTTGATCCCTGACACACACGTATGATTATATGATTCACGTTAAATCATTAACACCAAGCCTACTTCTTATATTAGTAGCTGACATAGGTAATCAAAACCAAATTGATAAGATGATTTACCAACTTTATATCCTCAGCAAAAGTAAAAGTCATCTATAATCGCCAGACTTAGACCATAAACAGCAAATCAATGTCATGCTTTACTAACTGACTAATCTCGTTGTAACCAAATCTATTTAATGTGTTGTGTGTTATGCTATACGAGTGTGTGTATTCAACACATTGATAACACAAATAAGCCGATAATTATATTCAATTCTGAAAGGAAAAATGCTGTATATGTTCATGCGAGTGAAACCATAATCATAAATGCGTATCAGTGATCAAAATCAGCTAGCAAAGCATGACATAAACTCAGTTTTGGTGACGTAGATCAGCTGTTAATATATTAACCCTCAGCGAACAAACAGGTCAAAGTGCGCATGTCACGACTTTTTTCGAAAGTTACATTCGAAATTTAATTAAAATACTTTTTTATCATGCTGTACGAATATACTTTGCATCAAAACATAGCTAAGAAAGAAGATTTTGATATTATATAAGTTTTAAGTTGTTAATTTTATGAAGAAATATTTAAAACAATTCTCGATTTTATTCTAGAATAAGACTTGTAATATTTGTTCTCTAGGTCTCCCCTCTTCTCTAATTTATTTACCACCCTTCCTAGAAGTACGGAATTTAACGTAAATTACTCATTATAATATAGTTATTACTTAGGCAAAGCAAAAATTTTATAGCTTTGAATCATAATATTGACTATGGATACAATCACTGGTGAATTACCAAAAACATGTAGGCATTGATACAGTGACGTATCTGCAGTGAAAAGATAAAGTTGTCCTTAAGGTGATACCAGACAAGACCTGCGGTATTTAAAGTACAATGCACATGAAATTCCTATTTATACGATTAGGTATAAAATATTCTATATAGCTGACTACGAATTAATCTTTTTCTTCACAGAAACATGCTATAAAACTAATATAGTTTGTTTCGTCAAATCTCAATAACAAGGACCACATTCATAGATATGATACAATATTTGATAATGAGTGTTACTAATTAATTTGTTAGGTTCACTGGGCGTTAAGATTAGGTTTATAAGTTATAATATAAAAAACGTACATTTCTTACGTTTTATATGAAAAGATTAGTTAGGCTTTACTGACAAAATACATAAAGCCTATTTGGCAACAGAAGGGAAGTAAATTAATAAGACATGCTATTCCTTACACCCTGAATTAGTTCGCTAACACTAATCTAAGATATATTTCAATACCGGATTTAAAGCACCAACACCAAATTTATTGAACATACCACAATGATTTTGGATTTGGGACAAAAGAAAATGGTGCACTGCCGAAAATTTATGAATGTATTTTCAATATACTTAGAAGACCTGATCCATCAGTTATTACTGCTTAAATACGGGAGAAAAACTCGAAATAAATCTGGAAGTTCGTTATAATCATAAACAGAATAGTACGTGCAAATGATTCCACGTAATAAACACTAAAGATAAACGTTAATATCTCACGATTTGCATAGTATTTAATTATCGAACGTAATGGTGATACTGTCGTGATTTCTTTTTAAAGTACGATACTTAAAGTCGAAAACAAATAATATTTATATTGCCACTTAATTCTTTTTATTTTTGAGAAATCATACCGCTTTGAAAATATGATATATTTCTAATGACGAGCACAACACACGTTTGTCAGCAAGAAACGTGTATTTTTGGACATGCAACGTGTCACTGGGATAAAACAATTGTGGAAAAATCTTCAGATACATTGATATTAGTTATTATGTTGAATAAAGATCATTACTTAAGACACAAACTATAGTTTACTACAGTTAAATGCCTCGTTTTGCTCCTGATCAAGGGTAGAATTATTCAAAACTGTTTTAACTCGGTGACACATAGTAAACCCAAGAATAGGCTGGGCTATTTCCTTTTGGTTAGTATGAAAAATTACAACACTGTTAAGGTTCGAATCTCCATGTTACCCGAGGGCTTGATAAAAGTAAACTTTTATTGGCAAATCACTATAAAGGACACATGAGAAGAGTTATTTAGGGACATGGATGAGATCTTGATTTTAGAAAAGTTAAACAATGAAACATATTTATTTTGTAGCTATTGCAATACATCAAACGATACAATAAAACACGAGTAGGTTAAGGCAATAAGCTTCTGCAAATATTATATTTTCAAGTCACAAAAGGCAAAGTGAATTTGTCAGATTTATTCAACTAAGTCTATTGTTGAATGCTCCAATCAAATGTTCTGAACATATTGAATCTGAATTGAATTTATTATTGTTATCTAAACAGATTTAAATGAATATAATGTAACGAATTTGTTATTATATATTTATTTTAATATCAACGTTTGTTTAGGTTAAATTTATATTTAGTAAACATACATAGCTTACACTGATAATTATGTATTG